TTTTAGAAATGTTTTCAGGTACTCTGCAATAATCGGTTTGTAGTAATATTGCTGCTATCAGATTGGTCTGCACAGTGTGTATGTATATTCATTTATTTGTCGTGCAGATGTAGCTGTACTCGTGCAGAGGTCTGTGTCTGGACTGATGAACCCAGGTCCACACACTTGGTGGGTTTACTAGGTTTTATATATATTTCTCATATATTGTATGTATACATGATAGTAAATGTATCATGTCACGTTTATGTTACTCTATTTATATGATACGCATATATAAGTATATATGCGGGTTAAGTATGTTTATGATATAGGATTAATTAAGTCTTGATAAGATGTAAGTTTAACAATTAGTAGTTATAGCATTTTGTATATATATCATCTAATGAAATATTTGATGTCAGCATATATTTATATTTTGTGTAATGAATGTTTTACAATTGTTTCAGGGTTTAAGAAATTTATCAGTAATAAACTTGGCTGTAACTGCGAACAACACCTGCGTCTGTCTTTCATGTCATGAAGCAGTTCCGGTTTCATTAATATATGTGCAAAATATTTCTTCAATTGGACCTTGTTTAATGAAGCACCGACTGTTGAAATTGTCCACCCTCTTTACCACACCTTATGCTAAACCAATTCAGCAGGCTAACGGTTAATGGTCAGGACAATTTGGCCTGGAATGATACTATCTGGATTGAAAGAGACCGACATGAATCCATGTAGTCATACCATGTCCTTTAACCTTTAGCCTGCTGAATTATTTTCACACTTCTTACCCCTGCCTGCTGGATTAATTTTAGCATAAGGCGCTCTAAAGAGGGTGGGTGATTTCAAACAGTCGGTGCCTCATTAAACAAGGGCCAATTGAAGAAATATTTGACACATTTATTCCTGATAGAAAACTACACAATACTATATAAAAATATCCTGGTGTTTTCAATCATACCAAGGTTAAGACCAAAGCGAACACAAAATTTGTAAATTTTCTTGAACTTACCTGAATTGCGTTAATTGGTGGTTTGCATTTCTTGCTAGGAACCTTTTAATATCGTAACATTTGTGCAAATTGATTTCAATAATCATATCTCCGATATCTTAATTTTAATTGAGTAAAAATTCGGGTTTTATAATCGGCATATATCAGCGCAATGGTAAATTATGAACCATTTCAGTGAATTTATTATCTAAATGTTAAACAGAAAAATAACTTAATTTTCGAGGTCATCATGTCGGTTGCAGAAATACGAATATTCGGGTTAATCTGACGTGTCATGTTATAAAATTTGCAGGAAACAATTAATGACTTATAAATATTCACTAATCCTAATTTCAAGCATTTTGGTTGAATATTTACGATATATAAAAATAAACAACCCGTATCATGATGCTAGCAGATGTCTTAAAATCAAACATGGCGCGCTTCGCCCGACCTCCGCATAACTTATTGCTATTTTAATATCAACAAAGTTTACATTGCCTTTATATAACTTGGCGAAAGTTGACGATCTTCTCAATCGAAGAATGTTTTATTCGTCATATTCTGATTAATATGACGAGAGAAAAACGAAAATAAAGATCGTGAATTCTGACAGCACTATTTCAATAAGTGCAAAGGTCACCGGATGTGATGTCACAGACAGGGGTAGTCCGCTGATAATCTTTCGAAACAAAACAATTACAATAAATTTTGAAATAGTTCGCCTATCACATACAGCAAAAACATAAGTCGATACACAGTATCAGTAATCACCACTAACATGAAATAAAAATGTGACTTTGACGATATAATTCGCATAATAGTTAATCCGTTTGACCTTGTATGCTCCCGTGACCCGGAAACGGTAGACGATAAATCAACATGCCACATGCAAGTTTCTCGGTATCTTTTATTTGAACTTCTGTTGATATTTAAGATTCACCATTAAATGTTACGGTGAATATAAATGGGACATGATTCATATTTCTGCGATGTACACGCTGATAAGTTTCACTACAACTACTTCACTACAAGTGTATCCCACGTAATACGTCTATGGATATAGTCGATCAGCAAGATCACCATCAACAACAGGTGCGCGAAAATGGGCTTGACCAAAACGTGTTTCAAAATAACATCCCCGCGTTGCTGAATATGATAGGGTATATATAAGCAATAAAATGCTACATACATATTTTCGGTGTTAGTTCCACATTACATTTAGGATATCTTTCCTTTCGGGAATACATTCATAGATTCTAGCATGATTTTAGAACAGTTTCACGAAGGATTTCTAAATTTATTCCAAAAATATGAAGACCACCATGATTGCGTATTGATGATAGATTTGTAATTGTTTAATTATTTACAGCTGTTTACAGGTTTTAAAATTTTAAGTTATATTTAATAGTTATTTTTTCCCACAATGATGGTGTGTGGGGACAGTAAATATTAGTCTTTGCATCAGCACAGTGTAACTGATCAAACTTTACATGGTGGCACATGAGCTGGTAAGTTTGCCATATGTTTCTTAGAAAATGCTATCTCAGTCTTCTGGTTGGAATGAAAAGAAACATGCCTGTGTACCTGTTTACCCTTGCCAGATGTATTTTTTCCACTCAGCCAATCCATTACTTTTGTTCACCTTATGTGGTCTATTTTATACATACTGCTTCCAACCTGTTTTTCCTTTGTATGCAATCACATTATCACAACTTCCTCAGCTGGTGTGTATAAAATTTCCCGTCATCATGAAAAAAGAATTATAAAGGAAAGTCATATTTTCATTCAAAAACATATCTGTCTTTCCTTGAATACTCTTTGTCTAAGTGCCAGAAATGTCAGTGTCATGAAAAAAATTAAAAAAAGATTTTCTTTAGGACTTTTCTTAGATAGACCTAGATCTAAGTCAAACCATGTGACAAGTTAGGTAGAATATTAACCTTATAAGCCCTCATTTCTGAGGTGTCCATATTTTTCACATTTTTAGGACAAAACGTGATCCGTGTAGATCTGCCTGTTTTGTTATGTAAAACAAATTCTTGTCTTAAAAAATGAGAAAAGGAATCATTCAGACAAATTTTTTTTAACCCATTCATTCACGAAAAACAGTTGAAATGTACAGTGGTGACTTTTGTACCCAAAATTTCTAGTAATGTTACCCAAATGGGTATGTGATTTTGTAGATCTACCTAGAATTATTCCAAAGATATTCATTAATTTTGGTGTCTTAAACTTAACATAATATCACTTTCTTATCAAAACAATACATTCTAACTTAGGTTTAACCAACTTAACTGGCCTCTTCTTCAGTGACAAGGCGTCAATTTTCTCTCAAAACTAAACAATCAATTTCAAGGATCAGTCATAATCATATTATGAACTTGATGAAATATTTTATTATGTGTTCTGTTCATCTACATGAAAACATAAATATAATTATGGAAATATTGTCTTATTTTCTTAGGTACAAATTCACAAAGTATTTTGGGTACAATTTAATTTGTTTTGGGTACAAAATCACATATAGGAGCCGAGAATCTATATATGTATTTTACACTAACTCGTCGTGTACCAAAGTTTTATCGGTTCAGAGGACGGGAGGTTCTCAGAAAGTTTTCAACAACATCTTTAAAATTTTAAATTGTTCTTTTTGTAATGTTCGAACAATAACAATATTATGTTGTTATTAATATGGCATATCAATACGTTATATCGCTCTCCGTTGCGTTCGTTTTCAGAAAATATTTTTAAATTAAATTCATCGAGCGTGAAATCCATTACGGTTTCGGATTTAGACTTACACATTTGATGGCGACAATCACAAAGAAATATGAAACACATAGGAGTGAAGACTGCTCTCCAAATCAATAAATAGTAAATAGTTGACAAAAAATAGTAAATTATGTATTTTCTTTTGAATTTGAATCTATTTCAGAATTTCTTTATGATAGCTTACCAACTTTTGCATCCATGTGTCACATGCGTTACGTGCTTCTGGTTTCAGATATGATAGCTAAAATTGCAAGTATTTTGATTTTTTCTCGTAAACTGCATTATTTTGCTATTGAATGGTTTACCTAGAATGTATATAAGTTCAGATTTTGCGTATCATCCAATATTTGTCATTTTCGCAGTGTTTGTTGACTTTGTTCAACTCAACAAATCGCGAGTTAGGCCACGCCCAAACGTATCACTGACGTTTGTCGGCTTGTCAATGTGTCCGAAAGTTTATCAAACAAAATCATTTGCAAACTCTTTAAAAATGAAATTCTTTTTACAAAGATTTATACATACCTGTCAATAATTCTAGAAAATTAAGTTAGATGTAACAAAATGATTGTAATAGTCTAACGGGATAACTATGCATGTGGAGTTGTTTGTTTACCGCCGTTGCCATGATCGTACAAGTTCCATCCAATCGATGATGTTACGATTCAGATTGTTTTTGTTTACAACTAGTTACACCGAAAGTTGCTAATTTTTAGAAATAAAAGAACATGAGTGTTTTCCTTTCGGCAGCAAACAAAAATTTATGATCGAATAGGAAAAATGATGAAATTATAAAGAAAATATTGGACTGCATGCCCACAACGTGAAGTGCCAAAAGTCAACAATGGCCGTTTCTTGTAGTTGTGTGCCGAGAAGTTTGGCCGAAACTTTTTTAACTCGCAATATTTTCTTTTTGAGGTAAATAAATGACTGAAAGTTTTGATATTGAGAAAGCTGAGCATTTATGCATGTCATACGTAATTTAAATATTACGCAAAGCCTTCTTGGTGAATAGATATGGCGAGTTTTATTTTGGGGTGTCGTTATGCTATTCGCCTGTCGAATGGGTTCGACATTAGATGCACGGGAAGTGACACCTCTGTCGAATGGGTTCGACGTTAGCGTGCAGAGCTTTAATGGTTAACGATTAATGGTCAGGACAATTTGGCCTGGAATGATATTATCTGGATTGAAAGAGACCGACATGAATCCATGTAGTCATACCTTGTCCTTTTAAATAAAACAACCTCACCTCTCCACAGTACTCGGATATAAATTCATTCTTTTCTGCTGGTACCTTCAGGAATATTCCCCATCCAGCAACGTCTGAAGGAGCTAGCAGCAAGTGCTGAAAAAGTGAATAAGTGTGTAAAGAGGACATAAAGCACTATGACTCATACAATGCTGTATACAATGTATTGTTGTCTAACAAGTATGTGACGAGTAGCATGGTGTTTACATGCAAAAATAGTGCCACGGCACTGTAGCTCACTTAGATACATAGTCAACAAAGACAGACACTTAAAGGGCCAGTGCGTCGACTGTTCTGAAGCATATGTTGCAAACATTAGCCGATAACCCCTGAGCTAATTCCGATAGCCGTATTCCGTGAGAGTGGTTTCTGCTCCAGTGACCACTACGTAGATGTAGGCTTATCACATGATCAGGTTTTTCATTTGTTTGTAAACAAACGCACTTATTATGAAATAAGAACATATGGGCCTAATGCAAGGCTTTCTGTGTGCTTAACTTATTGTTTTGCATAAATATATAGATATGCTACTGCAACTATGACAGTGAGGTGTATGACAATAAAGCTTTACACACCAAAGTAACCATAAGGCTAGCTCTCTGTAAGGTTTCGATGACCGCACGTGGAGCCATACAACCAATGTAAACAAGAGGACAAGTCGTCGATATTCCTGGGAATGGCAAATTCTTGTCGTAGATAAATATATGAAACCTTTTGCAATGGAAACTCAAAATACAGTGATCCCTCGCTATTGGGCTCTTCGATAAAGCGCTACCTCGGTTACTACGCGCGGTATGGCATGGCTCCCAAAATTTATGTACACTTTTAATACTGAGAGTTTTACACAGCCGTGATTGTATTGTTGTTCGTTGTTCATTTGCACATAACGCTTCTCATTGCATAATCAACCGTTTATCGCTGAATGGAGTTCTAATAATCTGTTTGAAAACATCCGCGGCAAGTCCCGGAAATACGATTGTTCTACTAGTTAACTTTTCACACTATACATCCTTTGATCTTAGAAGCGCATGCATGCAATAAAAGAGAACCACAAGCAAAGTTTATTTTCTTAATTAGTGGGCAATCCAATTTGAGGCGACACTATCAACTCACATGTAGTTGCTGTCACAACACGGCGGTCATTCCTTTTGATTCGGATCAAGTAACCGTATCAAACCAATTAATCTGGCTTGAATGTGTATCTATATTTGCATGAATGTGTATGAATGCGCATAGTGCTGGTCAAAACTCTCGTTTTCCGTATTTTAAGCAACATGACCAATCAATGCCACTGAATCACCCTCTACTTGTGTAATGAATTGTGATTGGCTCGTCACTCATAGCGTCTGTTACTACCATTATCGATCGATATTTTCATGTAAGTAGACTACATTCACATTGAATGTGACAGTTAAGGCTTGTAAATAATAACAAACGGCGAAAACATAATGGATATATATTTTTACACTATGAACGGTAAACAACTTGTATCATTGCTATTTGCGAGACAAGGCGAAGATCGTGAGATTGGCCAGGCGCGCTCCCCCACCTCGACTAAACGGCTCATCGTCTATAACGCCCACCAATTATTTGGACCCCATTGGTAGCGTTGTAGCGAGGGACCACTGTATATTTGTTTAAAAAATCCCCAAATATCAAAAGGAACCAGTTCACCACTGGTGCTATCTATGCACAAAGTTTTTTGAAGAAGAGCACAACCACCAATTTCAGTTGAAGTCATAGTTGTTGCCATAGAAACTCATAAAATTAATTTGAAAAATTCCAAAACTATTAGAGGGCACCAGGTCACCACTAAACCTATCTATACAACAAGTTTGGTGAAGAAATAATGTATGTTTTTCAAGATCTGTTTCAGAAACGACATCATGCACCTATGCAGTGATGGAAGGATGGCGTCCATTTATATAAACCCCTGCAAAACATGTTGCTGGGGATAAACAAAGTATAAATATGCAAATGGAAAGAGTTTTTTCACATTTTAGGATATTTTCTCAATTACAGCTAAACAAATGAAAACATATGCAAGATCTTGAACAGACTGTGGGATATGTGACAAAGCTGGCTACAAGGAACTCTTAAAAAGAGAGTCTTCTGCAACATCATTGGCTTCATACTACCAAGGCATTTATATAGTAATCTAGGGCTTGGTAAACACTGGCTTCTAATCCTATCAATCTGGCAATTAGTATTTTGTAACTCATCCGTAAGATAAACATACAAGCTTTCTCTTCAATCTGCCTGTGACTGAAGCCACTTGGGCAGCGCTTGGGTTGTTGGCTTCACTTTGCTGTCTTGGTGTGAGAATTGAACTGTGCATGAACAAAAGGTGTGACGTCATACTCAGAAATTTTTTCATTCATGATCTACGAACACCAAGAACAGTTGACATACTGGTTCATTACACAATATTTACTATCAGCAATGATACCGACATATTTTTCCTGCATTAATATATTGACAAATATAAAGATATAACATTTCAACAACATTTCTAAAACTGACATAACAAATGGAGAGGCAGGATCTGCTGCTTGCACTATTGGTAACCAGTAACTGTCACAGCCTACGTACATGTAAAGCTAACAAAAGCTAAGGAACAAAGATGGTTGAGTACCTCTGTGGCTTCAAATACATGGCACGTGAGGACTGGAACTAAAAGTTGTAGTGAACAGTAACTAGAGCCCAATGATCCTTTATAATATGAGGGATGGCAAAAAGAATTCTAAGCCTGACTAACTTTCAACTATAGGCCGGCCATAACAAAGTGAACTAGTCAATGTAGTACATTGTTTGAGTAGTTCATTGCAAGTGTATTTGGTCTGTTGTGGCCATTGAATATTTAAGTGACAGCCAGTTGAACGTGATTGGGATCCAAATGGATAAGAAATGAAAAAGAATGAGTACCGAGCAGTCATCAAGTTTTTTACTTCAGAGAAAAGTACTCCCCTAAAACGTCATGACCGTATGTCACAAGTGTTTGGAGATAAGTGCCCTAGCTATTCCACTATTAAACAATGGGCTGGGAAAAGAAGCCTTGTTGATGACCCTAGGTCTGGACATCCCTCAACTTCCACCAATGAAGATTTACTCAAGGAGATAGAAAAACTTATACTGTCAGATAGATGTATTACCATTGCTGAACTTTAGGAAGACACAGGTCTAGGTCATGGATCCACTGAAACTATTATTCATGAACATTTACAGATGAAATGCTCGTTGGGTGCCAAAGTCTCTAAATTCTATCTTAAGGAAAATAGAACTGACATTGCCAGTGAAAATTTGAAGCTTTTTGAGGAGGATTTCGTCAAATTCAAAAATACATTGGTATCGAATAATGAAACATTGGTCTACGACTATGATCCCAAGTCAAAACGTCAATCCATGGAATGGCACCATTACACTTCTCCAGTACCAAAGGAAATCAAGCCTTCAAGATCAGTGAAGAAAGTTATGGTCACTGAATTGGGGGATGCAAAGGATGTGATCCTTGTTGATTACTCAGAAAATCTCACACCTCTTGACTTGCAAAAGCTGCTGTTTGACAATGTGTGTTTGAAGAGCTTCCTCACCCCCACACTCGCCAGTCCTGGCACCAAGTGATTTCCACCTGTTTCTTAAACTGGAAGAACACCTTCATGGAAACCACTATGATGACAACAATGACATCAAAGATGCCGTGAATGGGGTTTTCAGGATGGCTTCAGAAAATTTCTTCCTGATATAAACATATTTATTTCCATAAAGTGGAGGGATTGGCAAACAAGCAAATTTTGCTTATCTGAATGCCTCTCCCAAACATGATACATATACAAATAGCAATGTATTGATAGTGACATGAGAAATAGCATACATTGTATAATTGGCATTAAAGATAAGTATTGTTCTGTAAGTGTTTAATTACTGGATTATCTTCCATAACTACAGTTACATTATTATTTACATTTAGCACAACAACATCGCAGTATCATATAGCAAAGCCATCATCTCAGACAAAATCTCTAAATCGGCAAGAAGATAGAATAACACTGTGCACCGATTTCAAAATTTCAAGATTTGTTACTGTCGTTACATTTGAATTACCATTTAGAATTGAATTTAAATCATAGCCTTTTACGAAATAATACATGTTTTGCCTTACTGTACTGTTTAAGGGACACATAAGAAAGAAATGAAGTGCATCTTCTGTATGATAGCCACATCAACATCTCGGGCTGTCGGATATAAATCTGTCAAATTTGTCGGCGTTTAGATCACTGCAGCCAAGCCTGAGACGGGAGTGTATAACCTGACAGAATCTTGATCCATAATTTGTATCAAAGTATATACCATTTGTATCAAAGTATATACTATTCCTATCATTGCTTTTTACAAAACTTTTAAAACTTTCTAAGCTACTGGCATTGGTGTATTCAATAGGTAGTGAGTTCCAAATATAAACTGTATCTGGAATAAATGATTTGGCATAATTATTTGATGTACACTTTGTGGTTTGCAGCTGTGAGCAGTTTCTCAAATTATAATCACTTGCATCCGACACTCTATTTGGAACTAAGGATGAGAGATAGTCTGGTACTAGATTGTTAACCTTTTTATAAAAAATATTTAACTTTTGAAAATGCCTTTTTTCTTCTAATGACGTAAGATTTGTTTCTTTATAAAGTTTTCCGTGACCTGTGCCACAACGGCCCCACAAATAGTTCTAAGTGCATCTAGATTAAGTTTTTCAAGTAGTAACGCCTGTTCTTTTGTGCATTTGTCCCATATGTGGCAACAATAATCAAATATCGGTAATATGAAAGATTTATAAATAGTTTCCAGTGTTTTTCTATTTAAACGATACCTGAAACTCCTGAGACAGTTAATCATTGGACTGACTTTCTTGACAAGGCTATTAATGTGATCATTCCACATACAATCTTCTTGGAGAGTAAGTCCTAGATGATTATGAGAATGAACTTCCTGAACAGTAGTGTTACTCATTGTTTTACATTTGGAAGAATCTTCCAGGAAAATTGGATAGATACTGTTTTATTAGGATTGAAATCGACCTGCCAGTTTTCTGCCCAAGAGGATAT